TAAAGTGAAACACTCAAAACGCTGAGAACTTTCCGGACAACCGTATTCCGTTTATTCCCTTATGTTACCCACACGGCCTTTGAAGCGTCTACACAACAAGTCAGAGATACAATGATCCTTTCGTATGCGGGCGAGAGTGAATACACGAAGGAACACAGAGATTACACGAGTAACATCATATGTTGGCAAATAAGAGCTATAAGTAGTGGTAAATGAAGGCTGGTTGGCCCGCTTATTTCCTGGTGGCTCGACCTGCCTGAACTGTGTAACCTGCCCGCCACTAAGAGTTTCCACAGTTTTGAAAGCGCAACGTGAAAATGCATTGCCCCTTTTCGATGTGTCATCCAGATCATCGCACTATGAGTACCCGAATTTTGAATGATAGATAAAAACGGAGACTCAAAAGGTAGTTTTGTAAAAAGTGAGTACAACTACACAGTCAGCCAACAGGAACCTTTATGGCGTAATCCTCATAAATCTTCAACATGAAATAATGTACATCTGCTGAAATCACATTCCAGACACAGAATTCGCAGAATGATGGCAAGGAGAACGATTCGAGTGGATTCTTGTAAGTAATAAGAAGAGCTGTTGCACTGCTGAGTGTGGCTTGGAGAATATCTCCAAACCTCGAATGGGCGTAAACATTATTAAAGTAGCTTTTCGTCTATAAGGAAATTTGAAATTTTTTCGAGGTGTTCGAAAGGTGATTGCTGACCACGTGCGCACTGAAGACAAAGCCCGCAATTGCATATTGTGGATAATGGAATTCGATTACAAGACGCTAACTGACACTAAAGCGGAGAAAAAAACAAAATCGTCGAAAACTTCTTATGTAGGGATCTGGCAGTATCTCCAGACGAGTTTTCCGGGCCTGCTCAAGTTCACGCCAACAAGCCTGCCATTTCTAACTAAATCCTGCCGTTTCTATTTCACTGGTCGTTTTTCCGCCTCATCCAATGATCACAGTAATAAAAAAAGAACAAAAAATGTGGTGTGAAAAATGAAGCTTGCTTTTGAGCTTCGGTAGGTGGGGCAACTAGAATGGCGTCAAAGTTGCCACTTAAGAGGACCGTAGCTCCCGTTAGTTGCTATCTGCTATGAAGCCGGGAGAGTGGGATAATCTCGAACACTGAGAGCAATTTTACTTGTCATCAAAGACACAATTTCCTTGAGCTCGGCGACTGTCTTCAAGCCCTAGTAGCATACCAGGCGTTTCGCCTCGCATGGAAATGATACTCGAACTCAGATAGTCTGTACAGCATGTGTGTGTGCGTGAGTGAATTTGAAGCTGGTGCGACAGGAGATGCATGAAAAAGCTCACTGATAGTGAGCGGGAGTATCAATGGTACGCGGAAGAAAATGACAGGACAGCAACTGATCTGACAAGAGCTGGTAATGTTGATAAGAGCTGATAATTGCGATAGAAATTGACGGGATACCACTGAATGTAGCAGTTTCGGCCACTACCCGCAACATTACTTTTGATGACGTAGATTCAGTCGGGGCTGTGCCTGGAGGCAGAATGTGCCCCCACGCGGCTTCTTCGCCACTAGCTCTCTCTCTCTCTCTCTCTCTCTCTCTCTCTCTCTCTCTCTCTCTCTCTAATCCTTCCTAATTCGATCATTCGACGACCACTACTGAAGGAGCAGGGATCGAATAGAGAAGGCAGACCGAATCGAGCTCATTCCTCCAAATACCGCACGACTGGTTGCGACGATGACAACTGTTTAGTGCTGCCCATAGCTTGTATTAGGTCATCCCATTCAAAGTGGCCGACACATATAGAGGAATGGCAGAAAAGCAAAGGGGATAGAGCAGCGGGCTACTATACCATTTGGAAGCTAGTACCTTAAGCTGTGTATCTGTGAAATTTGGCGAACCTAGCCTCTGAAGAAGTTCTCGAGAAATTGAAGAGAAGCCCGAGTGGTGAAAATCGGCGCCGGTTTTTCAAATCAGACGTCATAAAAGGAAAGTGCGCTGCTCAAATTTGACCTGCGCCGGACCATAGTTGTGTGTAAGGGTGTTCTCGAAATACACGGTGGAAGATTCTGGTTCAGGAGCCCGTACAAGGAAGAAAGGAAAAAATTTGTTGTCGTGGGTGGTCCCATAATATTCATCCTGCACAAGAAAAACGGGTGGATGAAGTCAGGCACTGAATATCTGATCACAGAGCCTGGACCCTTGTCGAGCTTCCCCGCGAGTCTGACATCCCAGCTGCAACTGCTGCCCGAGTTATGTCCGATAAACGGAGGATGGTCAAGAGGGTGGCGCATGGGTACCCAATTTTCTTATAGAAGCACGAACGCAGTACCGATTCTATACCTCCAGCAGTAATGTTCTCAGCATGAGATGTCACTCACAACTGTGAAAACGCACCCCGGCCCTAGATGAAATATGGGTGGTCTCGGACCTCGAGCCGAAACTCACAATCGTCAATTTTGTATGAATGCAGATGAGAAGCCGCCCGAGTTCTACCATGAAGAGTTACGTGGGCGCAAGTGGATGATCATCATAGCAAAGGATTCCCACACTGTGGCTTTCAAGCGGCTCTATACAGAGAACAAATCCGTCACTGTCGGTGCATATTGCCTGTTCCTCGGCATTCAGATCGACAAATGGATGCTACCACACAACTACAAGAAGGCCACCGTTGCTCGTCATAGTGCCAGACCCGAGTAACTGTATTGTAGATCAGTGCTGGGACACAAACAATACTGAGACCTGAGTTCAATCGTCCCATTCGCCCGTCATAAAGCCATGCGATTACAACTGTTCTATTCAGTTGAGAGTACTCTTCGACGGCAGACGCTACAATGTTTTGTCATTTGCCGAAATAGAAGGCAACATGAGCCAGCATTTGCAGAGCACACACAAGCTCACCTAAGCTCCGCCCACAATGGGCGGGGCGTTCGCCTGAAGTGGACGAAGCCGAGGATAAAAATTCTCAAAACGCATCCGGAGCAGCCCAGAAAACGGGGAATATGAGTGAAACTGAGCAACGGGTAGGTAGAGGAATTGAGAGAGAGACATCTGTGAGCAGTATACATGGCGGACCCTGCGAAGGCGCGCGGGATTTTCGTCAGGGAAGAAGAAAAAGAGAGGAAGACACCCGTAAGCAGTATGTTGTGTACCAAATGTTTAGGGTCCCCTGCGATAGTTCAATAATTCGATTCCGAGCGAGGTTCATCGAGTAGCACAGACGCAGTGTGTCTCAGTGGATGGAGGCCAAATCAAAGATTCGTAAATCAAGTATATTTTCCTATTTACTATTTACCTGCTATTTGTTGCACAAAAATTTAATCAAATCTATATTCCCACTTCAGTTCACTTACTAATTTGCGACCCCGACATACCAAACACAGCCTGAAGTGCAATTTCAGAGCGGTTTACCGAGTACGGCGGCCGCGGTGCTGCATGGATATATGAGTACATACGTGCAGCCGTACCTACCGTAGCGGTTATTGGCAATATGCCTACGGGGAACTCGTCCGAAATTGCTTTTTGAGTCATTGAGAGCGAAGGCTTTTCTTCGCAGGTTTTTGGCCGTTTCACTTCATTTCTCGCTATTTTCCCCACTTTGTAGCACTTTGCAGGAAGTAGCAGTGACAATTAGCGCGCTCACCAAGCGCGGTCTTGTTTTCGAATCCCGGATCGACTCCCACACAGGCCAACCAAGCCTTCTACCCTCCGGGGGTGGTAATTGGTACCAGATTCGTCTGGGAGGATAATAACACTGACTTGTACATGAACTGGCCCCCGCACTCATTCAAGGGCCACGTCGCATTCAATAAGCCACTACGATTCTAATGGAAGAAGAATGCGTGCCGCGCCCCAGAAAAGGGTCGATCAACGGCGAAGACTTCAACTTTATTCATAGCACCCTTCTAGCATTTCAGACCGAGTACCGACTTATACTTGTAATCAAGTACAGTGGGCCGAACCCGATGTTGGCGCTAAAGCAAACTTGGGGCTGTAGCACAAAATATTATTTGTAAGGGTAGTCAGTATCCATGAATGATGGAGTCCAAGGTAGCTGGCACGGATGATTCGGTACTTCGCCTAAAATGCCATCGGGGCTCCATGTAATGGTGGCACAAAAAGCAAAAGTGAAACGGTCAAAAACCTGCAAAGAAAAGCCTTCGTTTTCAATGACTCAAAAAGCAGTTTCGGACGAGTTTCCCGTAGGCATCTTGCCAATAACTACGGTAGGTACGGCTGCACGTATGTACTCATATATCCATGCAGCAACGCGGCCTCATATCAATCCCTTCGCTTCATATTTTACTTCGCAAATGAAGCAATACGAGCATCAGGTACGGTCGTCCATTTGTGGGCGGGCGGGACGCGGTGGGCGTTCGGGGGATATGTTGCAGCTTGTTAGAGCTTTATAAAGGTACCTTCCTCAGAAAAGGCGCCTACATAGCGACTGCGGAATACAGTCCTGCTAGGCGTATTAATCCTACTCGTTTTAAGGATTTATCGTGCCGTTTGCCTTTGAGGGAAAGATTGTGGATAGAATGTTTCTCAGAAATATCACTAAAACTGCCACCAACTGCTGCAGTGGCTGATATTTTTAATGCAAACAGTGACTCGAATGGACAATTTTTTTACGCTAGAAACTTTAAGATCAATAAATCCAGGACACTGACATAGAATAATATGGAAAAGTTTCATGCGATTACGATCTGCGATTGCAAAATTGGAGAAAAGTACTGTGAATGTTTGCATTGTGCACAATGCAAAAACAGGGACGAAAAAAGGGAAACGGGGATGGGTGCGTGCATGGTCAGCGATTCACGTGATGTTCAATGTGTTTGATTCGCTAGACACCCGAGGCCTCAAGGAATGGATTCAGTTCAACCCTTTTCCTTCATCAACACTAAACAAAACTCTATTGTCTCCCATTAAGTCAAGTACTGCTGAATCAGTTTTTAGAACAATCCTCATCGCGGCATTCAGCCGCAATCGTTGTGCTCATTGTTATCTCTACAGCTATCATGCTCCTTATAATGAGACATCGGAAAAAGCACTATAAGGTAAAATTACTTCTGTTTCGTTCAGAAATGAAGGTTGGGATTCTATGCTTCAGGAACGGCTTGCAAAGACATGGGAACAGCGTGTACGAGAAGCTGCACAAGAGTTGGAACAGCAATCATTAGAAGGGGGCAAAGCTGGACGACGACGTCGGAGAGAATCGAGAGACACCACAACAAAAGACCGTTCAAAAGAGGGATCAAAAGAAGCTGTGCAAAGGTAGTGCAGCCAGAGTGGAAGTGGCGTTGTTAAGAATACATTTAAGAAACCAAATTCTTCCCCATTCTGGTAACTTTTGCATGGCATATTGAATAAAAGGTTCCGCTGAATGTAATTTATTTTCATACAAACAACACTACACAGCTTATGCCGGCTATGGAGTGGGCGTGGCTGCGTACTTCATTTGGGTACGATGCGTTCCTTTAGGATGATTTCCTTTGTAGGCTGCTGCCATCATGTCCAGTGTTGAACAAGTAAATGATGGTGCAAGTGGCAAATTGGAAATATCCCAGCAGAAGCGCAGGCACCGCTACGATCGAATGAAGCGCGAAGCCGCGCACTCTCGCTCTTAGGAGTATACGTGACAGCACATCTTGAAAATGAAGGTAATATTGTGACCAATGTCGCTACTAGTTGTGGGCAGTGAAATTTCAGATCGGACCTGTCCGGACCAAAAGAAATCTGTTCGGGATAGTTGATAGTCATTACATATGCCTGAAAAGAAGCCCAAAACACAGGGAGATACGAAAGCTTTGTGCACCGAGTGACCACAGGAAGATCAGGGAAAGGCAAACAGCGAAATTTTCGGACGTCACTACTGCTTGAAGCTGAAAATGGGGCTTGTAAAATAGCATGTGAGCATGCTAAAAAACTTATTGGTTGTACGAATGTAGTGATGTAATACTGGTGTGTTTCCATACTCTCTCGTTACGGCTTCTACTCAAGTGGCAAAGAGACAGCGAGCAGTTACTTTAGCTTCAGCTTAGCTCACTCATAAGAGGAAATAGGAATAGATAGGTAGCATCATAACACATTAAGGATCGCGTGACATACATGGTGTGTCACGCTTGTCTGCTCCCTGTGGCCGCGTGACATACTCTTCAGAACTGAAATTTTCCTACATTTTGACTGTTGCGCAAGTTCCCTGTTATATA